CAATAGTAATAGAGCTATAATACTTGAATGTGCCATCATCAATGTCGAACGTCCCAACCAAAGAAGTGTTTTAAAATATTTTTTCTGCAAAGACAAAAGACAAGAAAGTTATTTAACTTTTGCTCGCATAAAACTAAAATGATCCAATATACTGTAATTCCGTAATCTAAAACATGTTTTTCTAACTTCTCAGACTTATTAGAGTATAGAGCATATTCATGACACAAAGGTTTGAGAGCACAAAATAAAAGCTGACGCGATCTTGTCTACAATTAAATAATTTCTACATTCGCTCTCTGATTTCTACAGCTGTTTTAGCAGCTTCGGAGCACTTGAGGTCACAAAAGGTCGCAAGAGGTCCCTCGCCAACAATCTTCGACAAGCGAGCTGCAGCAGAACACACCCACATCTGGAGGGACAGAGGTCTGCATAATCTGTTGATCCAACTGATCCCCTTATCGCCGTCTGATTTATTCAAGCAGTGTGTCGGATTGGCACCACGCCTATTCTAAAAATGCTGTAATTCTCGATTCAGCCACAGCCTATAACAAATTATTTAAATCATTACAAATAATTAAAATGAATGAGATTTTCAATACTCCTCACTTAACAAACTGAATTTGACTTTAGTCTTCAGTTGTCAATATACTTCCATAACAGAGCAGACTCCCACCAAGAGGTGAGACTGGGACTTTGGTTTGCACAATCGGATGTTTTGTTAAACTACTTTCTTGACAGCAAGAAGCTGAGAAGCTTGAGTAGTGTAGAAAGAGTTTGCCTCCATGTCTCTTATTTTCTTCCCTGGGCCTCCACGTCTGGGCCGTGTTTGCCCCTGGACAGCAGGCGGCGTGGCGGGCGGCCGCAGCGTTAGATGGTTCAGTCTGGGCTCGTGGTTAGAGCAGGGAACCGAGTTCATTCAGCCATGGCTGAAGACTTTTATCTGTACAAGCTGTGACGCTGGAGGGTCTGCAAGTCGTTTGCCCTCAAGGGATTCAGACTTTTGGGTGGAGTGTTTTGGTGATGAAGGGGAGGCTCAGGGGTTTATAGTAGGGGAGCTGCTACTTTACTCACTAACACTCCCTTTAACAATCTGTCTTCTTCTTGAAGAGAAGAAAAGACGAGAACAGACAGCGAAGGGAGCAAAGACAGAGGGGGAATAAAAAAAAAAAGGAGTGGGAGAAAACTAATGAAAGACAGAAGAGATTGAAAGAGATCCATCTATCGAGCTACAAATACAGATGCAATATGTGTACAAAAGGCATAGAGGTGATGTAGCAGTTTGGAAAAGTCTCTCTCTGATTTTACCAAAGCTTTTGCACAGCCTTTAATCTGCTTTTCCTTCATAAAGTCTTTGGGGTTTTATTAGCCATGATTGTGCAACTTAACTCTTCCACGGAACTGGCTGACCTTAACGTTTTGTTTCCTGCTTCAACTGTGCAGTGGTTAAAGGTTGACAACCTATGTAAAACTCAACTATGAAGTGTGTAATCCTCAGTAGTGCATTATTGAAAACCCAACTCATTTCTGGTATGCCTCTTTTGTGTAGATTGGCAACCGTAAGCTGCTGCTGAAAACTAATAGCACAATGAATAATCTGTCAGAGTTGCACAATGTTACAGTCAGCATTCATCACTCTTCTCTCTTCTTCCTTACTTTCTGTTTCTATCTCTACCATTCAATCACAGCCGTAGTTGTTATGCTGTGGTATTGACTGTATGAAGTGAGGCCAGTGCTGGTTGCAGTGGTGGATTACAGTTCATACAGTGCTGGGAGGATGGAGGTATACTGAATGTTTCCTATAATATAACAAGATAAACCAGGAAGCATTACTGTACAGTAGGTGTTGGCACTCCATAACCCCCTCAACCCAATCAAACTAAAGCTGCATTCAATAATCACCATTTGGTTTTGGTAATCGCGTCACCATACTGGACATCCAAATTCACAATACATTGCCTTCACTAGTGTGAAATTATGAATAATTGATGCTGGTGTATACAAGTCTGGCCTAAATCTTCTGTCAGAAAGATTGCAGCAATCCAGGGGGTGTAGATATCCAAACTTTAATTGTTCACAGGAGTTATGGTGTTACAGGATGTTCGTTTGTTATGGTTATCTAAGAAATATAAATAAACAGAGTAGATCAAATTAGTGAATGACAATATGAATCCTAATAGTTACATTACGATTTCCTGCTAGGAACAATACATATACATAAATGCTGGAACTGTCAGCTTCATGATAAACAATAACAGAAATGCCCGCAAGAGGGCTCACTTGACCGCAACAAGCGCACATGTTTTAACACGTGATAATGGCGACTTACAGGGGGATAACGTTTTACATGCGGTAATGGCGGCTGACAGAGGCATAGTTATACACAGCTCACAACAATAGCACAAGACTGGAAATATACGTCGATCGTACATACCAAAAGTAATTATATCGACAGTCACAGCGGACAGAAAGTTACACTACTGAACAGTTAACAGCCAGCCAGTCACACTTACGGCAAACAAGTACTGTACACAGTATATATATACACTACGCCGATTATTGTCTGTAAACTGTTATTTAGATGCAAACATTGATACAAACAGGTGCTTATGCCACTAACAATAATCACAGTTTCATAAACGCACAACGTGGAACACACAACGACCCGTTCACTTGCTGAAAGTCTGTTTATAACTGGTCGCGCGCCGTTACAGTGAGGGGTGCGTCCGGTAACTATCTCGGGACTGTCTGGGGGGCGTCCCAAAGCAGGGAAGTTTGCACAGCCGCCCCCAAATTCACTAGATGAATTTGTAATAGCACAAATGTCCCTGCTAGAATGTGGGGGAGGCATGTCAGTCCTCTGGCATTTCAGGAAGTGCGATGAGTTTCGCCACAGGTCGAATATATGTAGTGCCTTTTATATTCACCTCTGCAGAGCGTATCCTACCATCATCGCTCGGGTTCACTTTGGTTACCCGTCCAACTGGCCAGAGAGCCCTTGGCAGTTGCGGGTCGACAATCATGACGACCTGGTCTGTGGTTAGGTCTGGCGTAGTAGTGTGCCACTTTCGATGGAGCTGAAGGTTAGGGAGATAGTTACGTGTAAACTGGGCCCAGAAGTGGTCGGCCAAGACCTGGCTGTGTTTCCTGCGGCGACTCCCAAGCAGATCGTAGTCGCCATACACTGCTTGTGGCAATGATGCATCTCGCCGCCCCATGAGCAAAAGATTGGGTGTAATGGGGTCTGGATCAGCAATGTCAGACGTCGCATAGCCGAGGGGCTTGGAATTGAGTATTCCCTCCACTTCCACTAGCACAGTCATCAGGACCTCTTCAGGCAACGTTTGGTTTTTCAGGACTACTTGCAGTGAAGCTTTGACAGATTTGATCTCCCGTTCCCATGTGCCGCCGAAGTGTGGAGCGAGTGGTGGATTAAATCTGAAGGTGATACTCTGGTCAGCTAGCTGTTCCTTCAGACTTGGCTCGAGTGCCGCAAAGGCTTCTTGCAGCTCGCGGTCACCTCCCCGGAAGTTGGTTCCTCGCTCGCAGAGGATCTCGTAGGGTTTCCCTCTTCTCGCCACGAAGCGTCGCAGCGCGAGCAGGAAGGCGTCAGTGCTCATACTACATAAAAGGTCCAAATGTACACACCGTGTAGTAAGGCACTTGAATATAATGCCCCACCTTTTCTCGTGTCGGCGGCCTATCTTTATGGTGTATGGGCCAAAGCAGTCGACACCAGTGGACCAGTATGGTGGTTTGTTTATGCGTAGCCGTGCAGCGGGTAAGTCTGCCATCTTAGGAATGACGGGTTTGTTCCGCCACTTGCGACACTCAGCGCAGGCATATTGATGTTTCTTGACTGCTTGCCGTCTGCGAAGTATCCAGTAGGTTCTCCTTAGCTCTGCGAATACACAATCGAGAGCTGCGTGCAGCAAACGTTTGTCGTAGTCCTGTATAACCAGCTTGGTGACAGGGTGGTCTGGAGCCAGGATTATAGGATGTATGGTGTCCTCTTTCAGGTATTTCTCTGCCTTCCGGAGACGGCCTCCCACTCTGATTAGTCCTACAGCCTGGTCGTATACAGGAGAGAGTAGCAGCAAGCGACTACTAGGGCTGAGTTGTTTCCCTGATTGTAGTGCGGTCGTTTCTGCAGGGAAGGATTCTTGCTGTGCTCTTTTAAGTAGGGGTGCACCGAATGGGAAATTCTTGGCCGAAACCGATACCGAAAATAGGAAACAGTTGGCCGAAAACCGAATGCCGAAAGGCCGAAAATGATTAATAGAAATATATATATATAATGTATACATTTTTTACCAATGTTGTTCAGCTACCTGATTATGGAAATAGACATGATTATGGCAAAACTTAACTTAAATAATAATCACTATTATGGGTCCATAAAACATTTATTCAGCACTTTTGAATGCATACAGTACATTTATATATGTCATGTATTATTGCTAAAAAACATTATATCGCAGTCTTAGTGTCGCCAACTCGTTTCTAATATGCAAAGACAACAAATGCGTCTATGATGTATTTTCGATCAGACGAGATCTCTCTCCCCCGTCTGTGTGCGAGGGGGCGGGGCAGTTTACACACACGCAGCTGCTACATGCAGCGGAGCACACTGCGGAGATGGCGGAGAGAACGCGCTTCGAGGTGTGGTTAAACTTTACCTGTCTCGATGTGGAGAATACTTGTTACCATAAGTGCAATAAGAGTTTAGCATGTAAGCACGAGCAATTTGTCTAAACATTTAGCAAAAGTGCACCGCATGCAGACGGAGGAATGTACCGGGTTCGACCGTCTTTCTAGCAGCCCTGTAGCTCCATCACGAGTAACGTTTCCACGTCAGGTGTTATGTATGCTAGCAGCAACACACGGAGTTAACTACATGATACAAACATGGGTTAATGATTAGAGGTAACTGAGTTATTTAGTTTGTTAAAATTTCAGCTATTCTGTTTACAGTCTGTCATCAGATTATTTAATACGATTTGTTAAAGGCTCAGGGCAATCTCGAGCAGGGCAAAAAAAAGCCGAAAGGGCCTTTTTAACCATTTTCGGCCGATAATTTTCGGTGGCCGAATATTCGGTGCATCCCTACTTTTAAGCATGACAACCTGTGTCTCTAGTCGGCTGGATGCAGTCATGCGTGGAGCAGCCGCCCCGTGCATGGATTGGTAGGTGACTTCAAGTAGTTCAGACCATGATTTGAAGAGTGTTAGATCTGGAGCCGCAGGCTCGGCTGTTGCAATGTTGCCGCAGAAAGTGGTGTTGCGCGTCTCCTCTGTGTGTGCAGAACTAACCACGGGGTTAGCTGGCCAGTCGGCTGGAAGGAAAGTCGGGCCAGATGTCCAGCGATCGGGCTTAGCTAAGTCCAGTAGATGTTTTCCCCTTGTAATGTCGTCAGCGGGGTTCTCTTCAGAGGGGACGTATCTCCAGCTGTAGGTTCCGACGAGCTCCTGGATTTCCGCTATCCTTGTCCCTACGAACACTTTGTATTGCTGGGAGTCAGACTGAATCCAGTGGAGGACTGTAGTGGAATCTGACCACAGGATTGTTTTGTGTATTGACAGTGTCAGCTCGGTATGCAGCAGCTTGGCCAACTGTGCTCCAGTCAGGGCCGCACACAGCTCTAAGCGGGGTATTGAGAGCGGTTTCTTCGGGGCTACACGTGACCTTGCCATCACGAATGACACCTGCACTCTACCTCTGTCGTCTTCAAACCTCAGGTAGGCGACGGAGCCGTATGCTCTCTCAGAGGCGTCAGAGAAGATGTGTAGGTCGGCGGAGGTAATGTCGGGAACATCCGAAGTGTAGCACCGTGGCAGACTGATTTTCTGGAGATTTGGCAGCTCTCTTTCCCAGGCTTGCCACACAGGGAGAAGTTCATCTGGCAGTGGTGCATCCCATTCACTTTCCTTCTTCCAGAGGGCTTGAACTATGACCTTGGCCCGTGTGGTAAAGGGGATGATGTAGCCGAGGGTCATATTGGCTAGCCAGTACTCGGTACACGTACCTTAAGGTGGGTTCAGCTGAAGGAATAGCACGGTGCTTGTATCCCAGTGTGTCGGTACTACAGCACCACAGGAGACCGAGCGCAGACTCTTGAGGGTCGGTCTTATTAGCGTTTAGCCATAGCTCACACTCAGCTGATTTGGCTTCTGTAGGGATGTGTGAGATAACGTCAGGCATGTTGCTGGCCCACTGTCTTATTTCGAAGCCTCCTCTGGCAAGGACTGATCTCAGCTTGTCAATGAGGTTTCTGGCCTGGTCCTGGGACTGCAGAGACTGGAGACAGTTATCCACATAGAATGAGTGCATCACAGATTTAACTACCTCTTCATTGTCTTTGCTGTGGTCGTTCACGTGGCGCTGCAGGGCGTATGTAGCACAGCATGGGCTACAGGTGGTCCCGAAGGGCAGTACGTGCCACTCGTAGACATCTGGACTGCGATCCGTCTGCCCGTCTCGCCACAGGAAGCGGAGCAGTGGTTGGTCTTCAGGGAGGAGACGCACTTGATGAAACATGCCACGTATGTCTCCGCTGATAGCCACAGAATACTCTCTAAACCTCAGCAGCACGCCAAGCAGCGCTGAGCCCAGGATCGGTCCACGAAGCAGATTGTCATTAAGAGAGGCTTGTTGGTAATTAAAGGAGCAGTTGAAGACGACTGTGTTTACCATTGTGTTGTACAAGATGGTGGGGGATAAACCATGACTCCTTGGAGTTGCTCACCTCTTCAGAGCTAATCTTCACTGCATAACCAGCCTTTTCCAGCTTATGGATCTCCTCATTGTAGACTGTTGATAGCTTAGGGTTGATAGACAGACGACGTTCTGTAGCTTTTAGAAGAGCCATTGTTGCAGTAGGAGGTGCATGCAGAGAGGGGGCACTTTGCTTACGCAGTAGTGGAGTGGCGTAGCGAGACACATCGTCAACTTTGACACGTAGTCTTGTCCTCCAGTAGTTCAATGGCTGCTTTATCCTCACCAGAGCGGGTCACTTCATTGATGCTCCTGAAGGGGAGTGTGTCGAGCTGCCAAAGTTTCTCCACGTTCTGATGCAGCTCCTCTGAAGGGGAGAGGAAGGATGAATGGAGACAGTTGCTCTCACCTGCTGACTGCTGATGGAAGCTGGCTGGTCCCTGTATAGTCCATCCGAGTGCCGTGCATACAGCCACTGGGCAGCCTGTTGGGCCTGTGCGCACAGGCTGTTTGGGGATGATCAGATGTGTGTTATCTGACCCGATGAGCAGCATGGGCTTGACCTTATTAAAGGACGGCAGTGGGATGTCCCTAAGATGTTTGTATTTTTGCTTCAGGGACTCAGCTGCACGTGACTGCTCTGCCAGATTCAGCTCGGCAGCTGTAAAGGCCTGACTGATATTGTGTTTCACACCTTTCTTCGTCATGGCTGACACTTTGAATGACACAGTAGCTCCTTTCACCTGCACTATCTCTTGCCTAATTGTCCTGAGGGATATTACCTCTTCCTGTCCGAGGAGGCCGAGATGGCGGGCAGCAGCTGGTAGTATGATAGTTCTTTCAGATCCATCATCCAGTACAGCGTACGTGTCCAGGGTTTTCTTTCCATTCTGTAGTCGGACAGGGACAACCTTAAGCATTACTTTGCCTGACCGGCTCACTTGGTTTGTGAAGACCACACTGGAGGAAGCAGTTACAGTCAGTACAGTCATTGTGAGGGCCACATCGTGCAGTATGATAAGATGTTGTTGTCCACAGGTTGCACATGGTTTCTTTAAGGTGCAGTTTTCAGGCGTGTGCCCTCTCCCACACCTCCAGCATTTCCTGTTATCCTTTATCCAGCTTGCCTTTTCAGTGTTAGTGAGTTTAGCAAAGTCGGCACAGGCGTTGAGGTAGTGCTCCTGGTTCTTACAATAAGGGCAGAAGGGCTTAAAACGTTCACGTTTATTTAGCTGGGCAGGAGTGCTAGCAGCAGGTGATGGATTAGAGCAGGGGTCCCCAAAGTTTTTCCTGTGAGGGCCACATAACTTTTCCCTTCTCTGATGGGGGCCGGGTCAGTTTGTAACAGAAAAAGTGTGACGATCGCATGGGTGTCTAAACGTAAACATTTATTGTTTTCTAGAAAGCCACACATAACCAAATATTAATAACCCTTTCCGGGATCTTCATAGAAAAAAAGTCAGGAAATAAATAATAACTATTAATGAAATAAATAACACTATTTATGAAATAAATAATAACCAAATAACCCTCTCTGGGTTCTTCACAGAAAAAAAGTCCATTGAAAATTACTGTAACTTTCTGTTGTGCCATGCACAATCTTAACAGGTAAAAGTTTAGCTTAGTTGTCAGAGCAAAATCTCTCAAAATAAACGTGGATTTACGTAAAAAAAAACTATTTTTTCGGGGTTCGGGTGTTTTGTTTGATTTTAAACAAACAAAGTCTTGGCTTTCAGAATATGAAACTTTTATTTCCAATTTATTTATTTCTCACTCGCAATCTGCTCTTCCGCAGCGCCGCCCCCCCCTCACTCCGCTGAAATTATGAATGTAAGAGTATAGTAATCATAGATAACACTGCAGGGTCCGTTACAGTTTGTTTTCATCTGATTTCAATTAAACAAAGTCTTGGCTTTCAGAATATTAAACTTGTTTCGGCAAATTCAGATGATAAATACAACTTTGAAGCTTCGGCATAATTACAAGCGGAGAACGGAGTAACTTGACGTCACAGCAGGCATAACAACAGCCGGGGTTTCTCGTGATTGTTTTCCCCGGGAAACAAACACAATACACACAAACGCAAAATTACACAAGCACACACACACGTACACGTGTACACACACACTCGCGAGCTTCCCCTCCAAACAAAAATATCTTCCCTCGGTAGTATTTTGATCATTTGCTCCGCTAATAATCAATCAGATCGATGGATTCCAGAGAAGAGACAACTTTGAAGGCCTTTTTCTCAAAATGATGACTCGGTGACAGTCATTATATAATGTGACATATTTCGCTTAATATTTGAAGTACAAAAACAATCCTGATATCATTAGAAAGCTAGGAATATCCTCTTTCCAACAGTGTATTCAACTCAAAAGGTGTCTTCGGGTCAATGCGACTGATTTAGATAGAGCAGGTCACAACATTTTGACAGGGGCTAGTCTAGGATTCGCGTGGCCAGACTGAACAAAATAAAATAAAAAATCAATTTAAAAATAATAATAATAATAATAATAAATCATAATGCGTCTCTGCTATTGTTCAGGGGGCAGGGCCAAATGTGGAGGCAGGCCGTACCCGGCCCGCGGGCCTTAGTTTGGAGACCACTGGATTAGAGTGTTGGGCTCCCTGCTGGCTACCAAGCAGTATAGTAGCAGGTCTGACTCTCTGTGGCTTAGCCACTCTTCGCTCCTTACTGTCTGTGTGTGCAGGCTCTGGACATGTGAGAGTTATTCGACGTGAAACCTGTAATGTCTGGACTTTCCTCTCGAGCCACGCAGCTAGGTCAGGGAGAGTATATGTGAGGTTACTACCGCTCTGGATGATTCCTCTGTTGAAGCAGTATTCCACGAACGAGTCTCTGAAGTGAGGAGGGAGTTTGCTGAATAAGGTGTCAACATGAGACCCACATCTCAGCTCGGCTGATGAGGGGCCTTCCATGGTGTTTAGCATTCCCACCAGAGTGCCAACTGATGCTGCAAAGTCTTCAAACGCTTGATAATCACCAGTTTTCACTGCTGGAGCGTTCAATATGGCTTTAAGCTCTCCCTGCACCAGTTGTCTTGGCTGGCCATAGCGTTGGGTCAGGGTTTGCATGGCACTTGTGTATGGAGTTGGGCTGTTGATGTAACTCTTAGCTACCTGGAGTGCAGATGGAAAGGTGAGGTGATCGAGGAGGATTTGGTATTTATAATCCTCGGACAGGTGTTGGTGAGGGCCAAGCACGCTGTCCAATCCCTTTTTAAGCATAAGAAAGTCAGTTTCTTTTCCTGAGCTGAAGATGGTTAATCTTGGCTTTGGGATGCCATATGATGATGCAATCGCCATCTCCATCATACTGGGTATGTTAGGATTAGCTGTAGGCCAGGCCGGTGCAGGAGGCTGCATCATGTAGGAGTGATGTACTCGAGGTGGTGCAGCATACTGCATAGGCTGATATGGCTGTGGAGCCGTCTGCCAGTACCGGTGATGTGGATTATATGGCTGTTCCGGTGGAGCTGGCGCAGACTGCGGGTATGCAACAGGGGCAGGAATAACACCTGGATGTATTAGCAAGGCAGGAGGTTCAGGCTGTACCACAGCAGGAGAAGTGACAGGTGACGCAGGCTGCATCAGCGAAGCAGTGGGTGCAGAATGCGTGTCTGTTGCAGAAGCTCTTGGAGCCATAGGAGGTGCAGGCTGCATCTGTTCAGCAGAAGTAACCGGCGCCGCGGGGGAAGTCTGCTGTGTCTGCGGTGCAGGAGTATTAGCCTGTGATTGAGGTGGAGACGTTGAAGGAGACGTTGACGGAGACGTTTGGGGAGGAGCAGGATGAGCTTGAGGATATGAGAGTAAACCTGTTTCTTCCATACGTTGGTTCGTGGGAGAACACAGCTCCAGTTGAGGGAGGCTGCTATAGCGACTCTGGTATGCTGGAAACTGTTGTGAGTGGTATGAAGGGTAACCCAGGGCACTTTTTGGGTGTGCGGTGATCTTTACCTTGTCCATGTCAGTTTCTAGCTCTTGCATCTGCCTGCTAATCGTCTGCCAGCGTGCCTCTAATCGTTGCCAGTTGTGATCTGGAGTGCCAACAGGGTGATGTGCTGCTACAGGGTAGCTGACATGTCCTCCATGGCTGGGCGACTCGTCATATTCTGGCCTCGGTGATGAGACTGGCCTCATCTGGGGGGGATAAAGAGGTTGATGTGGGTAGCTGAGCTCGAAGTCCTCCAGATGTCCGGGAATGCGCTGCACTCTGCTGGGACGGGGACTGAGCGGTGGCTGCCCATCATACAGCTCCCTGGATGTGGCCATAGCGCAGCTTGTATACCTCCGGCTCGAAGGACCACTTGTGAAATTATGAATAATTGATGCTGGTGTATACAAGTCTGGCCTAAATCTTCTGTCAGAAAGATTGCAGCAATCCAGGGGGTGTAGATATCCAAACTTTAATTGTTCACAGGAGTTATGGTGTTACAGGATGTTCATTTGTTATGTTGTGGTTATCTAAGAAATATAAATAAACAGAGTAGATCAAATTAGTGAATGACAATATGAATCCTAATAGTTACATTACGATTTCCTGCTAGGAACAATACATATACATAAATGCTGGAACTGTCAGCTTCATGATAAACAATAACAGAAATGCCCGCAAGAGGGCTCACTTGACCGCAACAAGCGCACATGTTTTAACACGTGATAATGGCGGCTTACAGGGGGATAACGTTTTACATGCGGTAATGGCGGCTGACAGAGGCATAGTTATACACAGCTCACAACAATAGCACAAGACTGGAAATATACGTCGATCGTACATACCAAAAGTAATTATATCGACAGTCACAGCGGACAGAAAGTTACACTACTGAACAGTTAACAGCCAGCCAGTCACACTTACGGCAAACAAGTAGTGATGGCAGTTTGACACTGAAGCTTCGAACGGAGCTTCAACCCTGGACTTCCTATTCCATAGAAGCAGTGCTTCGAAGCTTGCTTCAAATCACGTGACATATGACGTCCGAAGCAGCAACTGCTTCAAATCACGTGACATGTGACGTCCGAAGCAGCAACTGCTTCATTTCCCGAATGAATCACTTGACTGGTTCACGGTCCATTCACGCGATTCAATCCACTGCCTCGTCTCGATTCTGACCGGTTGAAACAGTTTCAAACTTGAGTGCTTCAACACTTTATGACCGCTCTAAACAATGCACAATGTGTGGGTTGTTGTCGTAGTTTGCGTTGTTGCTGTTGAGTTGTTGTTGGTATTGCATTTGATATCATTATAGAGCAAGCCAGGAAGAAAGATAGGTCGTTCTGGCTCGGGAAACACTTCGAAATGTGGAGAAGTTGTGAACAAAAAGACAATTATCAGTAATATAAAAACTGTTAAATATTTCAAGCAATAGATAGCCCAGTGGGGAGAGCCGGCGGCCCGAATGCCTGGATGTCCTCCGCGCAGCTGGTTCAAATCCCGGAATGGACGTATTTTAAATCATTGCTTTTCAACTTTAATAACTGATAAAAGGCCCTCTCCGCCCAAAAACATGTCTAGCACTCTCTAGTCTCTTCTCAATAACCCAATACACACAATTATCAATCTTTAATTGCAAATAGAACATGATATTCAGTCTTAGTGTGTGTGTGTGCATCGAATATTTTTTTAATTATTTAAACCCACTGCAGCTTTGCACTTCGCCAGGAGAGGTCGCTGTAACTGAAGCTTCGAGAAATGAACCTATTTCCGACACAATTGTCCAAGTGGTTCGACGCTTCATTCAAAGCTTCATTTTGCCATCACTACAAACAAGTACTGTACACAGTATATATACACACTACGCCGATTATTGTCTGTAAACTGTTATTCAGATGCAAACATTGATACAAACAGGTGCCTATGCCACAGTAACAATACACAGTTTCATAAACGCACAACGTGGAACACACAACGACCCGTTCACTTGCTGAAAGTCTGTTTATAACTGGTCGCGCGCAGCACGTGACTAATGACGTTACAGTGAGGGGTGCGTCCGGTAACTATCTCGGGGCTGTCTGGGGGGTGTCCCAAAGCAGGGAAGTTTGCACAACTAGAAAATAACTGCTGTAAAACTTATGGACCAAGAAGAATGAAATGGAAAACTCACATTTTATAGTTTATTTTATAGTTTTCCACTCTCCTGCAGTTCTCATTGGACATATCCGGTCACTGGATATCAAATGTGTTTGAAAAAAGTCGCCTGGCCGTCAACTCTGAACATCTGAGATGCAGACTGCATCTACTTGACCTCAAGTCACTCGCAAAAGAGCCATGCCTTCATGCAACCGGTGCCCTCTGCAGTGACCTCTACTGTAGATCAGATTCCCACACCTGGGCTCCACCTCAGTTAGTGTACCAGATTCAAAAGCCCATATCATTGCTGTTACAGTAGTGTTAAATTCGAAAATAACAAAACCCTGAATCAAAGCATACCCAAAATAACAAAATAAAAACAAACGTTGTCTTTTGAGCACCACTGCAATGTCAATGCAACAGCTCATTGCAATGGAGAAAATCATGCCAGCATGTTGTAAACAAAGGGGTTTGGTTCTGTGGTGAGATTCAGCAGAAAAGTCTGGGACATCCTCTGATGCTCTGCTCAGCTTGGAGTGTAAAGAGTTAAGGTAGAGTCAGCGATTCTGGAGAAAAGAAAATGTGTTTATATTTGAACTCAAAACCTAAACAATTTCCCCCCTCTCATATCCATGGCCTGTACCCAGTCCTACGCACAACGGCAGCACATTTATTTTGTGCAACCTTTTGTTTCCGATACAAGGAAAGTTGAAAATGATAAATATATGTTATGATATAGTATATTTAACACACTTTTAATATTGATATAAAGAAGAGAATGGCAACAACACGTAGATTCAAACCCAGATACCCCGATTAATGACTGTGTTTAGACTGGCTGTACATATATTCGTGAGGGCCCACTCTGGAGGAGGGTTTCCAAACCATTCCCTCACTGTGGTCCGTCATTACATGCATGATCTTCCTCTCATTTGCATCTCCCAGGAGTGAGTGGCTGCTCTAACACAGTATCCATTTCTCTCTGAATTGTGGCCCGCAGGCCAGAAAACATTTCACTGAGTATAATGTAGACATTATGTCTTTTCATAATCACACATGGCTGCATTTCGCCAGAAGAATGTTGTTTGAAAAGGAAATACATTACAGCACAGTAATGGTGACATTTGCATAAAACTACATAAAGTGTTGACCTAAGTCCACTGCACAGATTCTGGATTTTACATTTATAACCATGCTTTTTGTGCCTTACATAGAGAAAACTGGTTGTCAGTTAGACACTTTTATGAAGCTTCGACTTAATATGAATCTAAAATATTAAATCTAAATGTTTAGTTAAAATGTTCAGGCCTTGATTTATAGGCCTATTCATCAAAACAAATGTAAAATAAATGGATTCAAATCTTAAAAAATATGAAGTCCTGTTTCAAGAATTTTAAATAGATAGACCACACATTGCATGAAGTATTTTTCAGTCAATGTATTTGTAAAGAAGAAAAGGAGAAATAGACAGAGCTCACAACACATTTTAAAGTTTAAACCAAACCCACACCCTTGCTAAAAAGTTTTCCAATTTGAACAACACCATTTACCTTCACGTGATAAAAGGAATCAAAACATATCTCAAAAATATGCCTTAAATTCGACCTTTCTGTGTCGTCTTGTTTGCTATCTTACCTGTTGTTGTATGACCGATGAAAGTGTCTGAATTTTTGTTCCTCTTCGTTCAGTGAAGACAGTCTGAGGAGGGGAACCTTCCGCCATGAGGGGAGAAATACACCTTAACTTCCTTGTAAAGCGACCTTGGGTCCCATGAAAGGCGCTATATAAATCTAAGCTATTATTATTATTAACTCCGAGATGCAACAAAACAAAATGCAGACGGTTTTCTTCAGATGTCTCTAAGAACCACACGGCTTCACTGAGAGGAAGGGACGTCTGCACTCCCGTCACCGAGGCTAACAGTAAGCTAGCTGTTGAAAGTAAGTAGGCCTACGTCCGAGCTGGAAACTGCTGCTTGTTCATTACTCTATATTATACACTATCGTAATATTAGGATGATAAGATTTGTGAAGAGAACACTAATCGCTTTTTGAATTTGAATAATAAGTCAAGTAACACCGTTTAAATCTACAATAACACCGGTTTCTGCCACAGGTGGGCAGCAGAACATGTAATGAACATATTATCTTTTAAAGGCCAGGGCTGCACATAGATACAGGTGAGCTAATTAGAGCTGGAGTTGTTTAACTCACCCTCTCTCACAGGTGCAACTAAACAGCAGGCCCAGAGAGACGTTAATCTGGCACGACTCTTACACATCAGAGTACTCATTATGGATGTTAGGTGAACACACCTGTGTGGGTGACACAGGTGTGTCGTATGGCCTTTATGTTCAAATGGTACATTTGTTAGCAGTACTTGTGATGGGCATTACAACTATTTGAATGGCTCTGTTCTATTTCGTATATGGCTTCGCCCTCTAAGGCTATCGCTATTGGGTTATCCCTCTGCGCCCCCGCGCAGCACTGAAACACTTGTAGTCCACGCCCACCCGCCAGGTGGGCCCCACCCTCGGGCCTCCTTCCGGTATAAATAGGAAGGGTGCCCGGCAATCTGCTCCCTCTTTTCTTCAGCAACCAGGCAGTACTGAAGCACAAGAAGATCGAATCATGAGCAGCAATGATTGTGTCCGCATGTGTCCTTCGTGCAATACGGGATACATCATGAGCTACGATTTTCACCCAATATGCGCATCCTGCCTGGGGCCAGAGCACGCGGACGCGGCTCTCAGCCAGCAGATCGCATGTTCACATTGTGTTCGTCTCCCATCATCTGACAGGAAGCGAAGGGCGGATGCTCTAGCTGCCGCGGGTGAGGAGGACGACTGGCCCATCCAGAACAGGGACAACAGCCTGTTTCTGGAGGCGAGTGGGGGGCAGGAGTCGGACGACTCCTACCCCGTCTCCCTCCATGGCTCGCCATGCGGCTCTCCCCTCCCCCCTCTTCCCCGGACGGGGGAGACGGGGTCGGAGCAAGAGTCAGAGGTGGCGGCCGAGCACGTGGTCCTCTTCTCCGTGGCCACGGCGCTACCGGTGTTGGGTGGCATTATGCTGGAGCTGCCGGAAATAATCGTCAAAGCAGCAGCATGCAGAGGTCTCCCCGTTCCCCGAGGACGGGAGAGGGTGGCTCTGGATGACATGGCCGGAGTGTTTTCCCGGGTTCAGACGGGCAGGAGTGACCCAATCTGGCCGCGCTTCCCCGCCATTAGGCGATTCCAGGAAGGGGCAGCGGCGAACCCGAGGACCTTAAGGGCTCCGGTGGCCACCTTTGTCCCCTTCACTAAGGTGGAGGGGTTCACAGACGAGGTTTTTCCAACCACCCCCGCTCTGGAACCGAGCTTAACGGCGTTCTTCGGGGTTTGGCAGGCCAACTTGGTCGCCGGACGGCGCCCTATGTTGGCCGCCCCCAAGGACCAGTATGTCGCCCGCCAGGCTGACCGGGCGCACCAGTGTGCGTTCCAGGCGTCTGCAGCAGCGAATAACATCGCGTTGCTGACCAACTCGGTGGTGACATTGGTCGAACGGTCCACCACCGTGGCTCCAGAGGAGGTGGAAGAGATCGCTAAGGCGACCAGCACGGCACTCACACTGTGCGCAGCCGTGGCGGTCTCCCAGGCAAGGATCACAGCCTGGATGACTCAGATCCAGCGCCACCTCTGGTTGCAACAAGCAGCGGTTACAGAGGGGAAGGTTTTGCCAGGAAGGTTTTGCTGGACGCTCTGATCAGCTCGGACGGGCTGTTCGGACCCCAGTTCCTGGCCATGGTTGAGTCCATGAAGGCGGCATCGGAGCAAGCGGAGGACATCCGCCAGCACGTCGGCTGGCTC